GAGCCAGCCAAAATTCTTTTTTTGAAAAATCTGCAAAATACAAATGTAGATAGCCAATGTCATGTTCCTCTTGTACATGTATACTGTGAGCAATAATTGTCTTGTTCATGTCTTGTACATGTAAGTGTTCAAGAGAAAAGGAATTCCATGCTTTGTTTGGTATACCGTATAGTGCTTCAGATCTGTGTTTTGCAATTATACATAAATACATGTAGTCTAATGTTGATTATTTTAATGAGCTAATGCCCTTATTACAAAACAGTTTGATTACAAAAGCTATCATTTCCGTTAGATTTTATGATAAGAACAGCTCTTTATGATTTCTAATGATTGTCATTAGCCAATTATGATTTTGTATATTATTAATGCATGATTGTAGACCTTGTACATGTAGATTGATATATATAGAACCTTTATTAGAAGTCATCATCACTGGTAATATGACTATGATTATAATGCCATGCAGACATAATATTGCTTGACATATTTTCATACTACCAAATATTTCATACCAAATATGAGCATAGATTAATATTGGAAGAAAATATAAAGCTCGCTTAGTCAAGATCCCAGAGAAAGCAACATTCATGCTTCAACAGTTCTGTCTGCATTCAAGCAGCAATGACAAATGATGTGGGGGAAAAGTGGGCTGTTTGTAAAGTATAATTACCCCATATATTACACTCCAAGCTTGCCAGGTGTCTCTTAAATGATAGCAACTATCCCGAGTGTGTTCTGAATATAAAATGGAATATTCAAGGCAATTATTACAACATAAAATGTTCGGAACCGTAGCACTTAACTGTGTGAAAATTTCATGCTTATTGATATAGACTCATCACGCAGTGTGCATTTTTAAAGGAAGAGGACATAATCTTAGGAAAGAGGGTATTTCCTATTCAGGTGTTGACCCTGTTGCCCATCCAGGTGTGTGAAGTTATTTGGAGGTTTCATTCGTCTTTTCCAGAGGTTCTCCCTCTAAACAAAGGATGTCCTCATTCTAGTTCAGGTTAATGCATGAAAAGTTACCACACAATGCAAGTGATATGTAGCCTGGGTGCCAGACTGTTCCCAAGGCCAACACAGGCCTGTTCCTTGGTTCTAATCTAGGGCCAACATGCCCCCAAGGAAATTTTACCACAGTCCTTTATGTATGATGATAAAGCAAACTGCTAACACAAGAAAATCAAGGAAATCCTGCTAGGAGTTTTTTTGGGTAGGCATCATTGAATGTAAGAAAAACGTGTGTAATCTCCAAGCAGATCTTTTGGTGGCTAAAAGGCACTCAAATTAGCAGTAACCATTTGCCTGACAGTTACCATTTGTGACATTGGGCTCATGTGAAAATAGATACCGTTATGAAAAACAAAGCCCGATAAAAATGCCTAAAACACACCAAAAATTCATCTGCTTGGAGAGTAAGTACAGTGTGCAGGATGGCAAGTCAATGGGAAGTTACAAGAAGTAGCATGTCAAAGTAGTTCTTCTGTGCCACTGCCACCTGTCATGGCTTTGAAATTACAAGTCTCAGAATCTTTTTGTGAATGGCTTCTATTTGATCCTTGTGATCAAACCCTGTCAGAACCAGGCTGAAGCCATTTTTTTACAGTAATGAAGCCGTACTGAAACATGAAGGGCCATTATAATATGCATAAAAGGGATGAGGAAAGAAAAGCTGTCAAGTGCAGCTGTACAGCGGGGAGCTCTCAAAGAGAACTTTACTATCAGGGGCATCAGTCTTTACTTTGAAGTGCATGCGATCGTGGGAGTTTCTTAGCCAATTTTAGTCAGTCTAGTTTAATTGAGCTCAAGTCATTTTACAGTGTTGTAGCCAATGTTTGTATTTCTGTCATTTGACAAAACTTTGCTGCTTATGATGGACAAAAATTTTGCCCACTCCGTCATCTTTGACAGACCAAAATCGGCGTGCAAAGATATGAAAAGAGATTGTCATTAGACTTAGACTAAGCTTAGTCTATCAGCAAAATTTGCCCTTCAAAATACAGGAAATAGCATTTCAGAGGGCCAAGATTTTAAAATTTACCATTGCGACTGTAAATATGCACATGGGTACGTACTCCTTTTTCTCAAATATAATCCGTCATGGTAACATTTGGGATGACCCTAATAATATTTTGCGTGACAAGTGTGATCCTTCTGGTAAATTCTGCTAAAACTTCAAGCACTATATTTGGTGGCTGGCCGACTTTACCCTGTCCACACCTCGAAATATGATTAATGGCTTGATGGAAATTTCCACCAACGATTGACAAGCTACGACTGTTTTCGTACTCACACTCACTCACTGTCCATTTTATGGTACTTCAAATAATTGTCTAGTAACTTTTTTGAAACCGATTTGTAATTGCTGGATCAAGTCGTCACTCCAATGCTTTTACAAAGTTGACTTTATATGTTTTAGTATTATCATGACGGATCAGATGGAAAATTACTACCGCAGACATTGATCGATGACAAAGTATGGTAAGGGGGTCCTTCCAGCTATGTGAAAACTGCATGTGTATAGATGTAGGTCATTAACTAAGGGGGTGGATGGATTTTACGCTGTACAAAGAGGGCAGGCATTGCTGAGGTCTGGTCTGTTTGGTATGACAACAGAGGAAGGATCCAGTTTAAGTAATACTTACGAGCCCGAATGCCAGCGGGGTAACTGTAGGATGTGTCACGAGATGTGGGAATGTTTTCATTCGTGAAAGTTTTGCAGGATTTTCTTGTGTATAAACTTGCTGCTTAGACCCAAATGAATGTACACAGCCTAATGTGCCAGTTGGATCATGTATCTGTGTAGCCGGTATAATCTCCCTTCGGCGTAACACACCAGCTCTAACTCTAACAGAGTCTAAGCATTGTTTAATGCTATCCAATGATAATGCCCACTGTACGTACTTGGTGAGAGTGAGTTCCACTCTGTGATAGTACTAGAAAAGAATGAGTTTTTGAAAACTTTGGTACTTGAAGGCATTGGCTATTTCTTGTTCTTTTCTGAGCTTGTATTAGATACTTAGTAGTTGGTACGTCCACCAGTTTATTAGTCATTCTGTACATCATGCATAGTCTTGACATACTCTTGATATCATCATAAATATAGTTACATGATATTGCTGCATCTCAGCAGGGTTCCATGGTGCAAATCCACTTGACTGCGGATCTAGATCATATGGACAAATTCCGAAAGGACGGCACATTTCAGTAAAATATTTAGACACCAAGTGACATAACAGCCAATGTTACCTCTCTGTCCTTGACATAGTTTGCCTTAGCATTTTCCTAAATTTCAATCTAAATTTGAAGGTGTCTGACAAATAATGAACTTCATTGTATATTTACGTTTAACGTGCTAAATGCATTGAATTAGATAACTAGAGTAGAGAGTTTAAAATAAAATTACTGTAAGTCTACAAATTTTCACGGTATATTTAGATTCGCGGCATTCGCGGGGACCTTTGTACCGCGAATCTATTTCCCCGCGAATATGTTTTGCATAAGTGCGCCCCCCTCCCTCCCCACATGCATTCACGACGGTAAGCGAAACACAAACACACGCGATTTACAAATCACTGCAAATCAACTTTATTCTTAGCAAATGTTGAGTACCAAAATTTTTTAAAGTTATACTGATGTCAAAAAATTATAATATTATGAGACACCGAATCACGATACTGCGGCACTGGCCGTGTCAACCGTGTACCGCCGAAAAAATCTATGCGTGCAGAGCGCCGGCCATGCGCACCCGGGCGCTTGAAAATTGCGGGAACATCGGGCATATCTACAAGTATTTTTATGAAACATATAACGGCTGGTACCTGGGAAATGTTAGTTGGTTATCTTTTGTGCCCTGCTTTGCGGGCGTTTTTTTCTTCTTCTTGTTTTGCTGGATAGAAACGCTCACCGTGGGCCTACAAAACAGGAGGCGACCTTTGCATACTTCTGGGTTCAAAATCTGGCCGAAGACGGCATAAATTTGCTTAGTAATAATCTTTATATATATTCTTTCGATTATGCATTTCTTCACTAGATTATCGATGTAGTCGTGGAAAATAGCATTTTAGCGCTTATTTCCGAACAGAGAAAATTGTTTACACGTGCGTCAGATCGATCGTCAGCTTTACCGCCGGCAGTCTTGCGTGGTGCACGAAACAAATTTTTGCACCGCGTTTTAGGAGATAAATGCCGGAACACAAACTTTTATTATTTTGAATATACACTTTACAAATTTTTCTTTGAAAAATAGCCAAGGAGAAATCGCGAATCTAAAAATACCGCGGATTGTCCATTTTCCCGAAACCGCGAACTTTAGGCCCCGCGAATCTAAAGAGACTTACAGTATGCCATAGTTTATTTATATCTAGTAGAAAGTCTCCCCTCTCATCTTAAAACATTTAATAGGTTATTTTACAGTTTTCAATCAATTGTACTTTTTAGATTATACAGTCATACATGTTCATGCACATTTCTTTATCTATATATGAAATATTGAATGCGAGCATACATGGCACCCTGTAGAGATGGGGGTCAAATGCATGTGGGGTGGTGGTGCTTTTTTCTCCAAAGTTAAAAGTTGATAGCCTTCCAAGTCTGTACAAAAGGGCTGCTGATGATATCTTGACACTGATGAATGCATTCTTGTATTTAGAAATTTATTTTCAGACTTATATCATGATCATGGTTTATTTGTCAGACATAGTGCTGTGTACCTAAATCCACATTTAGGTTCAGGTCCGGATTCATGTCCAGAGGTTTAGGTTCAGTTCCGGACTCGTAAGTCCGGACCTAAACCCATGGCATATACGAAATTGCATATTGGCAACCATGCAATGTAATGAGTCTGGAATTGGTTCTTGACTTTTAGGTTTTTTTGGACTTGAACCTAAACATTTTTACAAGTCCAGAACCGGTCTAGCCAACCAGTACACAGTACTACTAGTCAGACAGTTATACAATCTAGTCTAAATGTCTTTTCCTTGCAATGTGTTGTACAGAAGAGGAACAGAAGAGATTGTACGAGGCGCTACAAGAGGACAACTCCTACCACTTCACACCGTACCAGTATGAGGAGACACCTGGCTATGAAGAGTACGACCCCACACAGCCTACTGAGGACGAGGAGAGCCAACCTGAAGGTTCGCAGCTTTCCTTTTTTGTTCTGGATAAAAAGTTTGAACTGCTTCATGATTATCCTAGGGCCTAGGAAAAAATATTCTGTTTCCTAGAACACAACAGTTTTTTTCCTAGGCCTGATTCAAATACTTTGGCAGCCCTTTGGCCCACAAATGGTACAAGGAAATATAACTGTGCCAGTGCCAAAGGAAAGTTTTCTTGACTTGAGTTTGGTGGCTAGCGGGTCCTACGGTAGCCACCATGAGCTTGCCTGTAAGCCCTGGCATTGCTTTGGTAGCCAGAGTAGCTCATGGTATAACTTATCTAGTTGCTTGAGTAACTGTTATTTTTGGCGCATCTGAAAGGAGTGCCTAAATCAGAGTGGTTAAAATCCAAGCCTGCCTCATGGACTAGAAATTTCCAAACTTCAAATTTTGTGAAGAGAACTACCGGTACAATATAATGCAGCTAAATTGTATTGTAAATGGCTACAGTACAAAGTTGTTTCAAGTTTCATACATTTGTGCCTCTGTAGCAATAGTCGGTAATAAAACATGATCCAATATGGTGTCGTGCCAGAGTTAAATCTGTTGTTAGCACCAGTGATATTTGCTCCCGGGTTAACTGGAGTTCGTTGGTGCCTTTGCCATGGCTACCTAACACTCCAGTTGTGTCACGGTAACACGAGAAGCTCCGTCGTAGTTAGTCATTAGCCATGACATTTACTCCCTTAGCGACAGTCTTAATACCCTAGCGACAGTCTCCATATCCATGGCCATGACTCAAAACATAAGGACGCAGTCACGAAGATAGAAACTGTGTTCTATCTTTGTGGCTATAAAACTGTGCAGCTAACACAAACAGCTGAGCAGTATGAGCTCCACAGCAGTGTCTTCATGTTTCAGACATAAAAATAATAATTATTATGGCCTCATAATAATTATTTTCACTATGTCATATTTGCATGTAGATCTATCTGTCATTCCAAAAGGCTATCCGTTACTTGTATTTGTGAAATGCTGAAGGCCCCAAGCTACTTATAGAATGTGATGTGTTTTCAAAAGAAAAATTTCTTGATCAGAACAACAAAATAGTTTGATCTGCAGTTTCCCAATACCAGTCCTGGTATGTTATACCGATATTCTTATTCAAGCCCATAACTCTTAATGATACAACACTGACCCATTATTACTAGTTCTGTGCATTGTATATTCCCCTTTATCATGTACTGGGTATGTGGCCTCATCTTTGATCCGTTGACTACAAGTCGATTGATAGTGATATATTTACGCACCTTCCATACTGAATATAGTGCAATAGCCAAATTCCTCCTAGGCTTAACCTGGTTGGCATGTAGTGTAGAAAAGATGCACTCTCCAAAAAGTTGCAGCTCTCCATACAAAATATGTAAATTTTAATAATCATACATCTACTAGTATTTGAAGTCTGACAAAGAGAAAGAGATATGTGAAGTCTGTAAATATTAATGTAGTGATGACAGACTGTCTGCACATCTTGAATTATACACTGCTTGAATCAGAAGTTTCAAAACTTAACATATTCATGTTGTGAGAGTGTCGGCACCAAAACATTAGTGCACACGACAGCCAATGAAATTAGTATTCGTGATTAGTATCGCCGGGATAGCCCCTCCTGGTTGACGAAGTACCTGATAGCCCAAAATCATTACATAAGGTACGAGCCCGTCTCTCGGCGATAGCAGCTATTGGGTTTGAATTGATCTGGTCGTTACTGCCCTAGTTTATTGCGGCAAAATTTGTTGGAGGACCTGCATTTGCATGTCGACTGCATGGCTACTCAAAAATGCAGCAAGCCATGCATATACTGTATATTACTTTATATTCGCTGTATTTTTATGTTCACAATTTTCGCGGTCACTTCTGTTTGAATTATCATTTCCGTAGACAAATTATTTGACATTCCTTCTTCTACACCTGCCGCCACTGCAAACATATAGTTCTGTGAACATGTCCTTTTTTTGCTAAATTTTGCTACCGCGAATATAAAGTGATTTACAGTATCAGTATAGCAAAAAATTGTATTGTATGGATGACATCCCTTGTATATGAGGACCCTGTATTAATTGATGTGAGCATGCCAAAAATTTTGGCTTTTTTAATAATTCCAAAATGCCATTTTAAAACAGTGCCTTACATTTCCATATCTGTGTTGCAAGCAAGTTGTAACTTGCAAGGTTTATGATTTTATGAAGACCTCATGATGATAGCTGATTGGCCAAGGTGTTGACTTTCGAACTTGTGGCAGTTTATTTCCTAGTTGCGAGCATTGTCATGGATCACTGACATTCTGTTGAAAAGGGTAACGTTTTCTTTGAGGGACTCGGGCCAAAATCAATGGGTAAAATGAAGTTTATGTGACCTGATGAAGATATAATGTAGATGAAGGTGCCAATCATCCCATACACAACTAGCATTAAGGGAAAATGTGTATTACGTGCAAGATGGCACATTTAGAATGATATACTACACATACGTCGATAGGCTTATGACCATGGCATGCAAATTTTTTGTAACTTGTAAGTGCAAGCAAATCTTCAATTGAATTCTTACTTCACTCTTACTCCAACTATGAAAAATAGACTATCCTGCAACTACTGTTTTTGATGCTCATTTGTTTTCAACAATTAATGGTATCGTCAGTTTGTTTTTTCTGAAAACTGGCAAAAATCGATGCTCAGACAGATGTCATTCAATCATGTCAGCGGGGCCAGATCAACATAAGCTATGTAGGTGAAAGGTAAGGTGTGACTAAATCTACATTGCAGCAGTACTTTATTTTGGCTTACAAACTAAAACTGCTGATACATACTTACCTGGCTACCACTTAAGTTGCACGGCATTGGGATAAGGCAGGTGATTACGTTAAACATTTCATCCCAGTAAACACCACCGGGCAGAGGTGCGATAATTTAGCGCTTTGGCGACCTCCGAAGTCCCCCGGTGGGGGTGATTTACAGACCATGGCATCCCGGTGCCACCGAGGCAATCCTGGAGCACAGGAAAGTCATCTATTATTGAACCACCGTTCCTTACTACGTCTTTATTCCACTCACACTATGGAGCCTGAGCGGTCATAATGAAGAGATCTTACCAGTAGATCTGTTACAGCGAGACGTATTAATGGTTGTATGAATTCGTAAAAAAAGAATTGAGTAAAAAGGCGAAAAATAGAACAAGAATTGAAAAGATAACAATTTTTACATAGTACTAATACTTACTCAAGAAAGTCAAAGGTTTTCTACACATGTATGTTATCAGGAGATTAAAATCTCCTATTTTGCTAACAGTACTTACTGTAACTTCTTGATTTACGTCAAGGAGTCACCAAGTTTTGTCTCAAGACTTTTTCAGAGACAAAATCGATGAACAGCTGCCCCGTAAAATTTTATCTGTGTAGCCATATTTGTCTGTGAGCATGTTGTGCCAAGGTGATATACGGATGTGCCACACTGGATGAATTTTTAATAGTAATCGGTTGGTATAGAAACGTTATAAACATGAGCTATTGTGTCAAAGTCTTGTCCAACAGTGTGCTTACAGCACGTACGACCTTGGCCTTTACCTAGCATAAACGTGTGCCTGTCAGTCATACATGAAATGAAATTAAATGTCAGCGTTCTAGACTTATTTTGGAAGCCACCCCCTCACAAAATTAAATCATGTCTAAGTCATTGTCCTAGACTTACTACCTTCACCAAGAAGGTTATGTTTTTAGAATACTCCACCTCATCAGATGAAAACAAAGTGAAATCTCGTCAGTATTCTTCTTTAGGAAATCTTTTTTTTAATGTTGTATTTTACTTTATAGGCTTTATAGAAACAATTGTGCTTTTGCCTTATACTCGTTAGATATAAGACTAAAATGAAAATAAGAAAAATTTAACCAGAGCAAATTGATAAGCTGGTTTACTTTCAAAAATCTGAAAAAGGATTGACAGAATTTAGCTTTCATTACACATGGTGAAATTTGTACATTTTGTACCAGTAGAATGGCCAAATTGTGCAGATTAGGCCACACCAATTTAATTTGTTGGTCCTCAGATTTTTTCAAAATAAGTATGAAGTGACAGACTTTTTCCTCAACTGTTAGGGCAAAATATGAGCATTTTTTAGTTGATTCAGAACCAGAATCTTTTTTTTTTTTGCAAATCAGAAAAAAATGACAGGCGGATCCGAGAGCCAACAAATTAAATTGCTGTGGCCTAAAAAGAACAACTACTGTACAAGTAGATCTTGACAGTGAAAAAGTGGATATTTCTGAGGCTCCGAGAGCCAATTAAATTGCTGTGATCTAAAAAGAACAACTATTGTACAAGTAGATCTTGACAGAGAAAAAGTGGATATTTTGGAGGCTCCGGCTTCCAGCACAAGTTGAACTTGTTTGAGAAATCGATGATGCTCAGGCCGCAGGTGCGTCCAGCCAGGACGGCAGATTAAGTGAGGCAAGATAGATACGGATTCTGGGACACATCCTGTCGTAAAATTGTTCACTCTAAACTAGTCAATAATCCTTAACCTCTGGTACTTTAACTTCTCAGTGCTAGTGTACCAGTAGGTAGTTGCAATTATGTTACTACTACTAATACTAGTATAAGTAAGGCCTAGGAAAAAAAATTAGTGTTTCCTGTTTCCCAACCAACCCTAGACTTTTATGGGTGGACACCTGCAAGGGACAATATATAAATTTTTGAGCTAATCGACCTTTTCTAGTTCAATGATCTGACACCTGAAACATTGTACAATCGGTTTTCCAACAGTGAAAATGAAATTGTCTTCGTGCAAGTTTAACTTTTTTTGTATAAGTTGTATCACTAGCTAGAGATCACCTTAAAGAAAAAGAAAAAAAAAGATAATCCCTACCTACCGACCGTAATTTTTCTCAGGACTAAAACAAGAAACACAACATTTTGTCCTAGGCTTTACTAGTATAACTTGTAAGATTGTGTAATTAATTCTTTACATTTAAAGTGAATCACACTTAGGAAAGTCAAGTCTTGAGCATATCAAAGTACCAACTACATGTCAAGAGTGTGCATTGGTGTGTGATGGCCAAATACCTATAGTTCCCCACTTGGTCCGTAATGATAGCCTTCAGTGAGCTGGACAGTCTTTGCTGAATGTCAGCCAAACCAATTGAATCAAATATATGGCACTCGTAGAGTCCTAATGGCCAATAGAAGGACTTTTTTTCAGAGTTCGGACTTGGGGCAAGCTCTATAGTATGAGTATGAATCTCTAAGAGAGACTTTGGCACATGTATAGGACATAAAATTGTATTAAGAAAAAATCTGTTGGCAGGGAAAATGAAGATTTAAAACGTCAAATAATTTGTGAAAATGTATGTCCCTTTCTGAGGGTTTACAGAAGTTTTTAAATCGTAAAAGGGAAGGCCAAGCATATAAAATTTATGACTTTTACCTTCGTTCAACAGTCATGCTCCCAATTAACTATAATAACATGGCTTATTAGTGGAAGGAGAATAATTTTCTCACTCAGTATTTGCCTTCAGTTTTGTTCCAGCAATCCACGATTTGCTAGAAAAGCAACCTGCTCACGGTTTCCTTGTAGGTTTGACTTACATGTACATGTATTATTTTTAACTGATACAAACTGACAACTTGTATGTAAAATTTAACACTATACCAGACCAATAAAAAAAAGTGGTGCACTCAAAATACACAGTGTAAGTGGGCATGCCACACCCAAATCGTCAAATTTACGAGGAGTACATGTAGTAATTAGCTGTGAGATTGTTAGCCCTAACGAGTGTTTTTACGGTGTAATTACAGGTCCAGAGGAGAAGCCTGAGGAACAAGACCCAGCGGAAGAGCCGTTCATTGCCCCTCCGGAGTTACAGGTCCCCCCACAAATGGAAATGGTACGTTCTGCTTATGTTTTCCAACATCAAGTGTGTGCAAGAGATTTTCATTGAAATGAAATTCAAATATGAATGAATGAATGAATGAATGAAATCTTATTATCGTGTCTTGTGACTTTTCTTTGTCACCCAGCCCATATGGGCTTATAAGACACCAGAAATCACATAAACATACAATGTAAGTACAAAAGTCACAAATATAAATCAAATCAAAGGTCAACTCAAAAGTGCATAAAGTCAACTCAAAGTACATATATCTCTGTGGGGATGCCAAAGGGAATGATATTTAAAGCAACATTTCCTGGTAGCATAAAGTACTGTATGTGTTAAAAGATTTGTTGACTGCGACTGTACTACCTGTGTGGCCGGTAAAGTGTGAAATGTTATACCTTCAAAGCTGTGTCGGATATTCTGACATTTGTAAATTGCACTCAAGGGCTAACATTCCCTTTTGATGTTAAGCACAAAGGTGCTTTACACAAAGAAGTGTAATCTTGAATCGACCTCTTTTTTTGCGTCGTGTTGTGGTATAATTGCCCGAAACAGTCTCTACACATAACATGTGTAGGAGGTTGTTCTAGTGTAGAAAGTTGCCCTAAGGCCACACCAATTTAATTTGTTGGTTCTCGGATTCGCCTCTTCGTTTTTTTCTGATTTGCAAAAAAAAAGAAAATTGATTCTGGTCCTGAATCAACTGAAAAATGCTCATGTTCTGCCCCCAACAGTTGAGGAAAGTCCTTTTCTTCCTAGTTGTTACAGTTTTTCCATCTATCATTGCAGTGGTTTGATTAAAAGTTCAAAATTCAATGTTTAAATTTTAACCCAGCCTTTTGTGTTGACTTCATGGCTCATATTAGCCTATAATAGGATGCCTTAGACCTGTTTTTATTTTTATTTTTTTTCGCCCTGTCGCTTCATATTTTTTCTGAAAAAATCCGAGAACCAACAAATTAAATTGGTGTGGCCTAAGGTAAAGTGCCATCAACCATCATTCCTCTGAAAATGTGTTAAAAGAAAAGAGTTACATGAGACTATTGTGTTACAATTGTAATTGTGTGAGGCTGTGATCATGATATGGAGGGATTCATCTATGCTATGCCTGGGTACAACTGGATGAATACGTACTAGTATTCCTCCAGTTATGATAATAGACATGCCAATCATCCATTCTGTTCACCTCCATTTAGTAGGAGCACCTTTAATTGGCACCCAGATTTCACCCAAACACAGTCAGTGTAATTTACACTGTAAATTATACACATTTTGACCTGACAGGCTCTTGGTTGTAAATAGTTATGCATACCGGTTCACTGGACTTGGATCCGGACTTGTAAGAATGTTTAGGTTCAAGTCCAAAAAACCTAAAAGTCAAGAACCGAGTCCGGACTTCTTACCATAAAAGACCATTTCACATACCCCTTTTCTTTCCAAACTATTTGTAAAACCTTCCGTAGACTGTAAAATCTTTGCTGCAAAACGAAGAAAACATTGCCATCAGGCATCATCAAGTACTGGCCTCCATGTTATGTGGTCAAAGTTTCACCCAGACAACATTGCAAGGTTGCCAACATGCAATTTTGTATATGCCATGGGTTTAGGTCCGGACTTACAAGTCCGGAACTGAACCTAAACCTCTGGACTTGAATCCGGACCTGAACCTAAAATTGGGTTTAGGTATGCATCACTAGTTGTAAACATCTGAGCCATGTAGAATATCCTGCTACATGTCAACCCTCCAGACTAAATTTTTAGCTTAGGAGCGCATGCGCTCCTAGCCTCAAAAAGTTAGGCGCGCAGGCAAACATTTGGGCGCGCAGACAAAAAATCTGGTCGCGCAAAGTACTTTTTAATTTAGAAGCCAAGAGAATAATGTACCTAAGCAGACAATTAATAATTCTTTCATTATCATAGAAAAAAAATCTAAATTCACCATTTGTACTAAAAGAATTGTGATAAATGAAAGACCAAACAATGATTTTAAAAGTAACTGTCTTTAATGTGTTCAAAGTCACTTCATCTCAGTCATTAGACCAGGCTGACTGATATGTCGGTCTCCTAGGCCTCTGCAGGGTTGGACAAGTTTTCTAAAATCCAACCCTATCGGGCAAGTGCATGGTCATTTTCACTTGCCCAAAATATAAATGACATAGATCTATGCATTTATCATTGCAACAATGAAATCCTTTTATTTTTTGGAAAAAAAAACACTTAACAAAAACAGATAACAATATTAACATTGCTACTCAAACCATTTTGTTAACATTAAACTTAAAGGTACAGGTTTTCCACAACAATGAAGACAATCTTCTTTATTTTTTACAACTTTTCAGGTATTACACTACATGTCTGAAGTAGTTTCATTGACAAAAATAATTCATAAAAAATAAAAGACAATAAAAAAAGCTCATGGAAAAAGGACAGAGTAGAAAACAAGGGGAAGAATCTATTTGGAATTGCCTATAATTATTTAATAATAATGCTACACAAATGTCTAAATACCTTGAGTTGAAACTTTGCTATTAATATTAATTATTTCTTCAACTGTATCAAAACAATCTACAACTTAGTTTCAGTTGACCTTTGAACAAATCAAAAGTCTGCACAACAGCGATCTGCCCAAGTTTTCCTTAGAGGAGTTCTAGTAGAAAATCATATCAGTCACGCATTGCCAAACTTCCCTATCCTGCGCGCTCCTGGGCCATGAGGGAGGATCTCTTTTCAAACACAAACTTTGCCAACAATCAAATATTTGTGGCTGATAAAGATATTTATCTCCTTGGTTTCCCCCCAAATTTAGGCCAGATGGAAACATCGTGTATGACTACCGGTCGCGCTAGGTCCATTGCACTACACTACACTGCACAAGTTTTGAAGGCGAGATCTCGTCACCTGACCCCTCTAATGGTATAAGGATATCAAGTCTCGCGAGAGTCGGGCCGTGAGTGCACACCAAATGAAAACAAGATGGCGACCCGGTTGTGTCGGGCTTGTTTTTTCGCCGGAAAATAGCTGTTTTGCCGCTTTATTTGCCGAGATAATGGTATCTACGGACTTGTAATGGGTTTTCTGACAAATGAACATGATTTTGCCTGGCATTGATATGACATTCTTAGGCCACACCAATTTATTTCCTTGGTTAACGGATTCGCCGCTTCGTTTTTTTGCCAAAATGAAATAAAAATAAAAAACAGAACAAAAATCCATACTCTCGGGTCCCGAATTGGGGCCCCAAAATCCATCCCGAACGTTGTAATTTTTCAAAATTTGGGCATAGTTAACAGCGTTAAAAATACATTGCTTCAATGCAGAAACATTTTTCTGAGTGCAATTTGTTCGGAAAGCTAGGTTGCCTCTTCAAAAGTTCGTCAAAAAAAAATTCTTTTGATATAGAACTCGCCCCCCACCCCCTTTGCACATGTCACCATTCATGGCACAAAACTTCACTGACGACAGTCAAACGTACGGCAGATTTACTAAGTCATCGTGCCTGTAACAACATATCATCTCCCTTTTAGATATATATTATATTTCATTTAGAAACACGTATTGTGTCGGAAACATGTGCTAGTAACGGGCGTTAAAAGTAATGGGCCGAACGTATAAACTCCGCCTGGGCGGCACACGCACACACACCTTCAAAACGATCTTTTTTCCAGGGAATATAGTAAAAAATAACACGACATAACAATGTATTCTGACATCACAAACTGTATTACTCTCAAAAAGTACAAAATCCTACCACAAACATGGGATTTGGCAAAGTAAAAAAGTCCTCCATTCACGTACATGTAAGTCCATTCACTAAAGCAACTTTCTGACGGTCGGAAGAGTCCACTTCGAGTAGGGGGAAACAGTTTCTTTTAATTATAGAAATTACTCTGTGAAAAATACTACATGTGCATGTGGCATTCTAACAAAGTTACATGTTATTCAAAAACCTATAAACAGAAGTACAATTGCAAATAATGCATCAATTATTACATCTAAATTTTTTAATAAAATGGTTCCCCCTACAAATAAAAATCCCCATACATCAAAGACTTTATAGTGAAACCCTAGACCATTGAATTTGTGGCAACTTGAAGAGTGTGTCAATGTGGCTATTTGTTTGAATGATGGCTATGTATAATGTAGCTGTAGCATACCTAAAGTGTATAATGGGAAATATAAAATGTATGGTAGTACCGGTAGTATTTGGGAATTGGGAAAAGATAAAAAAAGAAATAAAATATCTGTAAAAGTAGTTAATTCTTTTGCCAATAACTTTTACACATTCCTGGAAATTTGTCTAAAGCATATATTTAGGATATTGTAAATTTCAAGCTCTAAATAACTTCCATATCAGCTAGACACAATAGAATGCCCAGCCCAGTGGTAAGCTGTGTGCCCTGAACTGTAAGAAAACAATGGGATCTGAACAGAGCACCCTGATTTAAACCACTCTTTGGAACTTTGAAAGATGAATAAAAGTGAAACCAGTTGGATGGGAGTCTTGTCAACTGACAGTTTGTTGTTCATACAGTAAAGATGTAACTTAACTTAATGGATTGCTTACTACATGGCTGTATGGCAGGTGGTCTCAAATTTTTATTTTTATTTTTATTTCGCCCGCCCGCTCCATTTTTTTTCTAGAAAAATCCGTTAACCAAGAAATTAAATTGGTGTGGCCTTACGGGAAAAAATTAGAAATTTTTGCCTCTAACAGCGCTATAGCCAATAATTTAGGCGCACCGCGGATTCTCTGCCGGTCGCGCAGTGCGCGACCAGAGTAACAAGTTTAGTCGCATTTCTTAATTTTTGGTCGCATATGCGACCAAAACGGTCGCAGTCTGGAGGGTTGCATGTACATGCATAAACGTATTACTATAATATGATGTAACTCATGTGTGGCATGAGTAGCATTTGTAGTGTGCTTGTCTGCTTTGGAAAGGGATTCATATGTGACTATTGAAATTAAGGCACATGAATGGTTAACCTCATAACTGTCTCCCTGATGCCTCAGCAACAGATTTGGTGCCCGAAGGCTTAACCTACATGTACACATGTACATGTACCTCACAATGTTGTGTTATTTGCACCAGTGGAGTATTAAAGTGCAGGGCTCAAAATGCTTTTTTCTGCATAGTTGCAGGTAGAAAATTACTTGCACCAGGCAAATTTTACCTTGACACAACTCAGAATTTAGGAAACATGGATGGCATATTAAAAACTGATCAGATTTACCATTAATATATTGCCATTATTTCTTTTATCTTTCTTAGATCATGTAAAAGTTAATGCAGCAATAAAGATCCACAATCATACATCTACATTAGTGTATAAACCTGACAGTACATGGACCTTAATTATACTATAGGTTAGGTGCCAGGTAGACATGAGAAATACCTGCACAGCTCCAATATTACCTGCACTAACCTGCGTAATATGCAGGTTGCATTTCAAGCCCTGAACATGAAAGGTAGATGTTCTGTTATATCATAATGAAACTTGTATATTGAATATTGAAAACTTAGTATGCTACAAGCAAGTCTGATAAATGGCTCGCCATAATCTACTCTGCAGAATACAGATTTCTGTAATCCAGGGCCGAAATTTTTCTTGTCACGTTTTCCCAATTGCTGGGTAGGGAGCCTTGAGTATTGATCATGGCGCGAATAATAAATTTTTTTGGCATGAAAAATTGACAGAAAATGTGGTGTCAACTGTTGTTTAATTAGAATACCCGACCTGATAGGCCCCCGGAATAAATGCATGGCACGTGCAGAAGAACAATTAGGCCCCACCAATTTGATTTGTTGGTTCTCAGATTTGTCAGAAAAAATGTGAAGCGACAGGGCAAAAAAATTTTAAATAAGTATCATATGCTAGCCCCAAAAACTATGATAAGAGATAACTCCATATTATGGAGTCAACATACCACTCTGGTTTATAATTCAAACAATGGATTTTAAACTTCTTGTCAAACCCATGCATATTGATAGATGGAAAAACTGCAACAACTAGGATTAGAAGGAGCTTTCTTCAACTGTTGGAGCCAAAACATTTTGGACTTGATTCTGAAACTGAATCTTTTTTTTCTTTACAAATCAGAAAAAATTAAGCGGGCAAATCTGAGGACCAACAAATGAAATTGGTGTGGCTTGAAGTTGAAACAGTTGTTCAAACTCAAAGTTTGGTTTTACACTAATATGACTGTAATGCTGGAATAGAGACCTAGCCAGCATAAACTTATTAGACAGAGTACTGTATGAACAACATGCTTTGACTATTACAAAATCTGCTAGTAGTAGTAAATCAAAGAATCTGATATAAAGAAGTGAGTATGAAATGTAATACGTTAAAAACAGCAAACCTCACGTAACAGTAAATATAAAAATCAATATGGTGTGTTATGGTTACAAATGGTCTGTGCAACCACAAACACATTAAATCTGAAGATTGCTGACGAAAGTTAAAAATTGTGTCAAATATAGACAGTGACATGCTAATTGTCGGTCGTAACTGCCTGGGAAGAGATAGTTAATTTTATTTGGAGCATCGCTTTGGTTACAAATGGAACGCTACAGGTTCCATTAGCTGTGTGTGTGTGTGCAAGTGTCGACTGCGCACTTTGCCTGTAACACAGCTGAAATAATGGGACTCATAGCCCAGGTATTGATAAAAGTGCAGCACTGGTCATTAAATATGTAGTGTTTATTGATTGGTTTGTTACATCTGCCCCAAATAGCGTCCCCGCACTTCCTGTACGTGCCTGGTTATCATTAATCAATATGACTGCCTGATGGCAGGTAGAGATTGGTGTAAGGGCTGCTGCCAAAATTCGCTGGAAGATACTAGTAGTACGGTAAGCAGCTGAGTTCTAAAGATTGTCAAGTACTTGAGTGATAGGCTCTTTGATTAAAAGTTGCTGATCCTCCTTAACCCCTTAGGAGTGCAAATTTGGTGCCAAGAGGCTGATTTGGTACATGGTAGGGACAAGGTTGAATGTATAATTATAGTACATTCATTCCTATACTAAACTTTTTTCCTACTATGTTTTTAGTATAAAAGTTACACATATTTTAGAACATTTGGGAGTTTTGACAGTTTTAAGCTTAGGCCACACCAATTTGATTTGTTGGTTGTGGATTTTCCCGCTTCATTCTGTTTCTATCTGTTTTTATTTTTATATTTTTTTCGCCTTGTCACTTCATATTTTTTCTGACAAAACCCAGGAACCAACAAATCAAATTGGTGTGGCCATACAATGATTCAAGGGAGAAAGATGAATGATATATAGGCTGTATGGCCAGTATTCAATCACCAGTGTGATTTTCTGGCTAACAAATGGCATCCTTGACCCAATTGCTGCAGCAGACTTAATCATGTGGCTGTGCTAGATCACTTGCTCATTTACAATACTTGCAACTCAGCAACACCAACACCGTTGATAGATGGAAAATCTGTAACAACTCTGAAGAGAAGGGACTTTTATTTTATTCAACTGTTGGGGCCAAAATATGAGCATTTTAGAGTTGATTCAGAGCCTGAAATGTTTTTTTTTTGCGAGTCGGAAAAAAAAGAAGAAAGGGGCAAATCCGAGACCTAAGAAATTAAATTGGTGTGGCCATAACGTCACAAAAAGCCTAATCTTTTGTAAACGTCTGTGGTTAAATATTACATACACTGTAAAGGAGTGTCTGTTTTTCTTTCTTCTACCCCAGCCGGCGACAGTAAAAATGCACCAGATTATCGAGAGAACAGCAACCTTCATCAGCTCTCACGGGACACAGATGGAGATCGTGCTCAAGGCAAAGCAGCATGGGAATTCTCAGTTTGACTTCTTGACTTTTGATCACTACCTGAACCCCTACTATAAGCACATGGTCAAGATGATCAAGGACGGCAAATATACTCCAAAGAAGAGTGAAGAAACCAAAGAAAATAAGGAGCCAAACAGAGGTGAGATTTTGTATATTTATAGAGGGAGGACCAGCAATGCCATGCACTGTAGGCCCTTAGATTTGATGCATGTTTACTTAATAAAGTTATTTTCTTTATATTTTTTACAAAAATTTTTAGCAAGCTTTTGCTCCATGCTTTATTTATATCTGTGACACCAAAAAGCAAACCTTGCAGCAGGGATAAAACTCCCTGAATTGCAGAAAGTTTGCATACACAAATTGCAAATTACACACACACACAATGTACAACTGACGAGATGGGCAATATATACATTGTACATTCCTCATATACCTTGTAATTATACATTATTTTCATAACAAGCCAAGGAGCTTTACCAAGGAGTAAAATCTTGGCCAGATTTGAAAGGTAAAGATTCTACACCTTTACAAAATGTAAGCCTGACTGTCAGAAATCTGATGCTGTAGTTTGTCCATTGTCAATGAAATTCAATCACAATCTTCAAGCAGCTCAGTTAGCCCCTGCTGTTTCACCTCCAGAATCCCCGGTTGTCACTGCCACGACGGAGTCAGGCCCTGCCCAGGACATGACTGACGATAGCGATGAGGAAGATGACTTAGACGGCAGCGGATACCTCCACCCCAGCCTGTTCGCTCCGAAGAGAACGCGACCGTTGCCCAGCACGACGTCGACACTGTCCACCGCGTACAGAGGGGCGGGTCCGCTGTCCACCTCAACAGCTGCTGCTTTACACCTGACGGGACAGTCTCAACACTTGTAAGTTCTAGACTAGGCCTAAGTACTTCACACCTGCTGGGACAGTTTCAACACTTGTAAGTTCTAGACTAGGCCTAAGTACTTCACACCTGACAGGACAGTCTCAACACTTGTAAGTTCTAGAAAAGCCTAGGAAAAAAATGTTGTTTCCCCAACGACCATAGAAAACCTACCGACCCTAGCCTTTTTTGGGTGGACCCCTGCAAGGGACAAAATTAATTTTTCGAGCTGATCAACTTTTTCTAGCTCCATAATCTGACACCTGAGTTATGAAACGTTGTTACTATGATTAGTTTTCCAACATTGACATTGAAAATATAAGTATCCTCATGCAAGTTTTACTTTGTTAAACTGCCTGTACTGTATGGATCACTAGAGATCGTCAAAGTTTAATAAAAAGATAGAAGAAAGAGAAAATAAAGATAATACCTACCTACTGACCCTAATTGTTTTCAGGACTGAAACAGGAAACACAACATTTTTTTCCCTAGACCTAAATGAATTTGAAGAGCAGGGCATATATAGATTGAAGCATGAGCTCTTGTCAGAAAGTCCTGAGGTTAGTGACCCTGCCTCTGAACCAAGAGGTCATGAGTTCGAATCCTTCTCCCCACTGTTACATTCATGCTCTGGAAAGGTTCGCATTCACTTGCCAGGTCAGGACGTTAAGCCATGGTCCAGTGTTCATTGTACTTGTTGAAAAGAGTTAAGGGACTGTCTCTGATACAATGAACCTGTATATGCCGTATATCATAATTCTGCCTTCTCTGTTAATACCATTGGGAGAATTAGCTCTTTCGTGAGCTAAATTAGTTGAACTTTGACATCACTTCAAGTTTTATGCTGAAATCAGTTTTCAGTACTTCTGAAATTCCCAACATCGAATGAGAGAAACAAGTGTGTATTGCTGTACTGTGTTTAAAATAGCTCAAAGATTTACTATCAGGAATGGAAAGTGCTTCCCAAAGCATATTTGACAGATTAGTCGCCGTGGTTCATAGAAAACGGCAGGCAGTTCGCCGTAAATCACTGCTGCAAAAAGCATTTGGTGCTGTCAGCAAAAATAGACTGGCAGGCATCACTGGGAGAGGTGTACAATGTATGCTTCCTGGGTCCTGGTAGTTGTTTATGATGTATATTAGGGAGAATGGAATGGGGTCAATGACAAATAGTGACACAATACAAACAACTGCTGTGTTATCGCGGGGCATTAACCTAATTTAACAAAGAGCCAAGGTTGGAGGCCAAATCAACAATAGAAAAGCTATCTTGGATTAGTTGGAAAACCTCTTTGCTAATGGTCAAACCACATTGTACTGTTTGATTGAAACTTATCCAAAGTAGGTTCTATACTTTTTTGAGACTTTGAGACTTTCTGATGTTTGGAAAATATATTGGGATTTTTAACTGTTTTGATGTGAAACTTTATGAGTTTCGTTTTTTTCCCTTTGAGCAAAATTATAGATATGTGGAAGATACTTGTTTAGTCAGCTTGTTTTGACATCTATCTGTACATGATAATGATTAATGATATTTGTGACCTGATTCCCATAGAGCCACGTTTCTGTAATTCTTTTGGCGTAAGAGTAACTTGTAGCATTCCCCAAAATTTTGCATGAAAGCATTCCATGGTGCTACCCACGAACAAATAACCCAATACTGTCAGACTGGATTACGGAAAGAGACTTCAATCGCAAAGGCAATGTCATAGATTCAAGCAAAAGTTTATCTAACCTTCTACATGCTGTGAGAGCATCCTGTATCTACTAAAAGTAGAATCTTAGGGACTGTACGATATTTACCGGGGAGGGGGGGCCGGTCGTCCGGGGGTAGCGTAAAAATTTTTTTCCTAGGCCCTCCCCCCAGGTCAAAAAAAATTTCCTAGGCCCTTCCCCCGCCTCAAAAAATTTTTCCTAGGCCCTCCCCCGGCGTGAATCATAGAGAGTGAAATTTCGTATGGGGAGGACGAGATTTTGATTGAAAATTTTCCCCGCATGAAGCGCCGAAGGCGCGAGCCATCGCGCCGCAGGCGCCACTAGAGCCCGAGTAGGCCCGGCTTTTGGGCGGAGGGGGGGGCATGTCCCCCCCGGAAAAATTTTGAATTTCAACCCATGTTTTGCATGTTGAGGAGCAAAATTGGCAGCACAAATTTCGCTGGTACATCGAGCTATTTAAGTCAGTAGCGTGTTACGGTCAGTCGAAATAAAATCTAGCCTACCTTTCGTCCACGAACTTCTTCCGCATCAATTTTATTACAAACAGGGAAACAATATTGCCAAGTTTACGTGTTGTTTTCAATTAACTTTGGAGAGACATAGATATAAATGTTAAAATAGTTCTTGGTTTAAAAAAAAATGCCAAATTAATCCGTCGACATCCGACATCCACGCCAAGAAGTTTGAGCGAGTTGCGAGGCGGGACCAGCGGGTCACCTTTGCCGACGCATGCACACCACTGGGAAGGGTGCGTTGAACGGCGAAAATTAATTTTCAAAATCTTCCGACAAGCCTTCCCTACATTTTTGATCGGTATCGTTTCGATAGCCGCGATTGACACGACTTTAATCCATGTAAATTGGTTGTGTAGTCCAGTTTCGCCGATTCTGGCGAAAATGCAAGATTTTGAAGAGGACTGTGGGAGATTTGGGCGAATACATTTATAAGAATAGGGATGGATATTATTGGAACGTAAAATTCTGCCGATTCCAATGACCGGCAAATCGCTACGATATGTATGGGACAGACGTTAATCATGTTTTGAAAGTGTATAAAAACGTTGTAGAGTTAAAGGGATCTTGGAAAAAATTTTTACCTAGGCCCTCCCCCAAATTAGAATATTTTTTCCTAGGCCCTCCCCCCGGCTCAAATTTTTTTTCCTAGGCCCTCCCCCCTCAGACGACCGGCCCTCCCCCCCCCCGGTAAATATCGTACAGTCCCTTACATGTACATCAGCATTATGTAATATTTCAGTGCCAACATTGGAAACAATATTGATGGAAAAAAACTGTACGCGATATTCCATTGACTGCCAATTACAAAACAGTTATGTTATCATTCCACATTTCTGAGTTTTCTAGGTTTAAAACATGCTCGTACCATGTAGTATTTTTGCACTTTCACTCCCAGAGTGACGGTAGCTACATGTCTGTAAAGGAATACGTTTGATTCAACATTCCTGATTTTGCGGTACTTTGATGTTCGTAGTTTTCACGGTCACTTCTATACCGCTACTATTACCATTGACAAATAGAAGTACACATTGTAATTTGCTGACTTTGCTCCGCCACTGGAACATATAGATCCGTGAACACCTCCATTTTCTCAGACCGTGAAGACTAAGTGAATTGACCATAGTAATCTGTAAAGAAATGACCAGAAAATGGACATTTTGTGGTTGTCCATGAATGTTGCTTTAAAGACAGTTGGATTTGTACTGTACAATGTATGATGTGATGATGACTGTGTCTCTTGTTGTTTCCCAGGCCTCCAGCTACTACCTCGCACAGTTCAGCAGAAGCTCCAGCCTACCAAGGACCAATGGGCCTAATGGTACCACCTCCCCCTCCCCCTGGAGTCATGTCTGTGGAAGGTGCGTTACAGCTTTCATACAAAGCAACCAAGTATCATGCATCATCATTAATGTATGGTGGCAATTGAAGAAATTAGTGGGTTCTTCAATGGAAACTTATGATGATACTCATTGACCAGTTCCTACACTACAAGCAAAAAAACAAACAAACAGTGGATATTGTCACTGTCACACAGTTTTTTGCATCGTTGAAAGCTTAAAAGAGTCCACATCTATATTGAATATGTGAATACACCTTATGTGTTCAGCTTTATGGCAAAGGTTAAGCCCAAGAAAGTGATTTGTATATTGCTTAAAATTTTGTGTTCATTTGTTTTTCTCTGCTTATTTCCAGGTATTCCTCCACCACCCCCTCCCCCTCCCCCCTTCCTGGCTTTCCACCCCGATGCGAGCTATGCACCACCCCCTCCCCCCGGAG